ATTTGGCAGAGTTGAATTGCATCAAGGTCTATACCTACTCAAGGAAAGCTATTCTCTACACACAAGTGTCTTATTCACCATTTTCTTCCTATGTTTCAAAGTTTGTTAAAAATCAAGTTTGTTAAGACATTATCGTCTGGGTCATCCCAATTTTCATAATGTTTCAAAATTGTCATCATCTCTTTATTAATAAAAAGCCCGAGTTTTATCAATATAAAACTTGTCAATTGGCTAAACAAAATTGTCATGTCTACCATTTGTCTAAATACAAATCTTCGCAATATTTCTCTATCATCCACAATAACATTTGAAGACACTCAAAATTAAAAACTGTTGATAGAGTCAGATGATTTATCTCCTTTATTGATGACCACAATAGAACTAGTTTGTATTCCTCATGAAAAAAATTTTGAAACTGCTTAAAATTTTCAATCCTTCCATAACAAGATTTTCACTAGATTCCAATGCAAAATTCAGATTATCAATTATGATAATGCAATAGAATATTTCAACTCTATCCATGGACCATACCCTACAAAGAATGATATCATCTATGTCAGTTCCTATGTTGAAACTCAGACAACTCCTTGAGATATATAGTTTTATGATGCTTTCTCCAAATGTCTGAAAAATTTTATCGGGAAATGTCGCGTTCACAACCACCTACCACATTAATAGAATGCCAAGCAGAGTCCTTAGATCGAAGTCCCTCTCGATATTGTGATGGAAAAAAACCCTCATGTAAGAACATTCTCATCCAATCTTCCTCTAAAATTATTTGGATCTCTTTTGTTCAAATTCACCAACCAAATCATATAAAATTTGACCCAAAGTCCATTGCATGTATCTTTCTTGGGTATGCTTCTAACAAAAAAAAGAAACAAATGTTATTCTCTCATTACATGAAAAGATTATAACTTCATGGATGTTACCTCTTTGATACATCAACTTGATATCTAAAATGCGTTTTTGAATGAAGACATTGATGAAAAAGTGTATATGGGAATACCACTAGTACTGGAAAATGCTAAAAAAAACATCTGGTTTGTAAACTAAGTCACTTTATATCCCCAAATAATCTCCAAAGACTTGGTTTGATAAGTTTGTATAGATGATGGAATTGATAGGTATATCTAATGCCAAACGGATCATACGTCATTCATAAAATATACTCGAGGATTTAAGAAGGCTATACTTACTATCTATGAAGAAGAAATGATCCTAACAAGTGATGATGAAAAAGATATTAGAAAGATTAAGGAATTTCTTGTCATTAAGTTTAAAATTAAGGATATAAGGGTGATGAGATACCTTTTGGGCACGGAAGTGGGTAGGTCCAAAATGGGTACTATGATATCTCAAAGAAAGTACATCATAGACCTACTAAAAGAGACAGGGTTACTAGGATGTTTGGATTTCAACAAAAAATTACATTCATGAGAAGAGACACTAGTGGAAAATGATAGATATCAAACACTGGTGGATAAGCTCATTTGTTTATCATACACTTGATCTGATATTGTTTACTATATCGGCATTGTGAGTTAACATATGAATAGTTCGAATGAAGAGCATTTGGAGATGGTTTACAGAATATTGATGTTTCTTAAAAAAACCCTGGTAGAGGGTCATTCTTCAAGAAATCAGACAACAAACAGGTAGAGGTCTACATTGATGCTATTTGACAACGAGAACTCATGGACATAAGGTTCACTTTTGGGTTTTGTTCCTATGTCTTGAGAAATCTTGTCACTTGGAGGAGCAAGAAGCAAGCAACAGTCTCTCAAAATAGTGCAGAATCTGAGTATCGAGCATTTTCTTTGAGAATTTGTGAAGGAATGTAGATCTAAAGGTTGCTAAATGAGTTGAGATGCTCTACTATCAACCCATAAAGATTTTTTATGATAGCAAAGACGCAACTAGTATTGCAAAGAATCTAGTGCATCATGACAACACTAAGCACACTAAGATCGATAGATTTTATCTCTGAAAAGATCGATGAAGGCATTATTCGCTTAATCTACGTTTCAATTCATCTTCAAGTTGTCGATGTCTTCACTAAATCTCTATCTCCAGGTAGTTCAATGATCTGAATACCAAATTGAATTTTTACATCTATGACCCAACCTGAGGGAGAGTATGGAATTTTCAGCTTCTTCTTTTAATTTTATTCCCTCCTTATATTATACTACTTTCCTTCTTAAATTATGTTTTCCTTTGTAAGTTGTAATTATTATAATTATTTGTGTCCTAACCATTCCTTATTATATAAGGAGAACAGTTGTAATTTGATTATTGAGAAATAAGAGAATAAAATTTTCTCCACCTTTCTTCAAGTATTATTAAAAGTAGAAGGATAAAAGAATTTTCAATTATAGTGAAAACATGTTTAAAATCAGCACAGAGCCTACGTAGTTTTAGGTTGGTTATAAATATGGTTACAAAAAAATATTTAAGTTTCTTTATGTATGACTTTTTGCAAGTGATTGTCTAATGAATTAGTAATTTGAAAAAAATAAATTAAAATTTAAAGCACTAGAAAAAATGTAAAGCCAAAGAGCCTAGGGTTAGAAAAATAAAGATAAGAAATATAATACATAATTTTAACGATGTGATATATTGGTACCTAAGTAACATAGGTTTAAGTATTTTGGATCTACCATATAACAATAACAACAACAACAGGCCTTTATCCCACTAAATGGTCGCTACATAAATCCTTTTCTTCCATTGTATCCTATTGAGTGTCATATTTTCATTTAAATCTATTAGAATTAAGATCATTTTTTTTATATAATATGCTTGAGTCTTTATAGGTCTCCCTCTGCCTCTCTTAACATAAGTCGAATCTAAAACATCTACTCTTCTAACCGGATCATCAGATGGTCGACCTTTAATATGAGGAAACTATCTAAGACAACTCTTTCTAATCTTGTTTGCCACTGTAGTTACACCAACCCTATCACGGATATATTCATTTTGCATTTAGTCTCTAAATGTCAAGTCACTCATCCACCTTAGCATTCTAATCTCAGAATCACTTTTGTTTTATGCTTCTCTTTTAAAGGCCAACAATCTACGCCATAGAGCATTACAGGTCTCGTCACCGTCTTATAACATTTTCCTTCA